TTTGCCTTTGGGGCAATTTTTTATTAATAACAGTACCCATTTAACAATAGTTTGAAATGTCTTAGCTCTTTGTATAAGCATTTTTTCGTATTGTTTAAGAGATGCTATTTCATCGGGTACATTATGTACAAAGAGATTATTTAAAACACTATATGCAGGCAAAACTCCATTACGAAATTTTCGTTGACAGTAATCACAGATATATTCTGATTGAATATCATGTTTTTCTATATACGCCATTAAGTCTTTTATAAATGGAGATTCATTCATTTGTACCTTAAACTTATTAAATTGAGACACATTTTTTTTACAACAAAGTCTCTCACACTATACACAAGCATATCGAGGTGTGTCCATGCAACGTTTAGTATAAGCCTTAAATGCATTCTTAAATTCAGAAAAAATTTCTTTCTCACTCGAACTAGTACAAGTTTGTTCATGTCTGTACATACGCTTTGCTTTTTCTTCTGCCAAAGTTATAATTTTATGTAATGTTTCTAAATCAGTAGAAGTTAAAGCCTTCTCTAAATCTAATATCTTTCGATAAAAATTCGTCAGTTGATAAATCAAACGTTTAATATTATATTTCCTACCTTTGGAAAATGAGGTGATAATAAGTAAATGGAAAGAGACATCGCTTTACAAAGAGTTGTATCAATGTAACAACTATGCGTGTGACCCAATTTCGTATTTGAATATGTTTTTATTGTACATTTATGAATTTTTTGTAACAATTCTGGTATTTTCTTAAAGGTAGATATACTTATCGTTTGGAGGACTTTTTCATAACAATTAATTAGAAACGGATCAATTTTACATAAGTTATCGTCGCATAACCATGATTTTTTTGCTTGTGCTTCTATCAAAGGTAATACGTTTGTACTTTGACCTTCCACGTTCATTATTAAATGTGATGAAGAAACGTTACGATATGTGGAATCGATAAAATAATTTTCAGACGAAGCTGTATGTCTCGATTGGTTACAAAGAGCACATAATTTTTTATCAATTGTTTCGCATTTAGTAGCAAGACTCAAACATACTTCTGATTTCTTTTTAAGCAAGGCTAATGTTTTATACATATCACGAATCTGAAGACACTGGTAGTGTCTCGGCACTAAGCCGCGCGCAGAGACACTGCCGTGCCTCCTTTACGCGAGACAATGAGTTGCGGGGGACCGAGATTATCGGATCTCAATAACAGCTGAACGGATTGATCTTTATGTATAGCTTAATCGGTAGCTTTCATTCCGATCGTAATATATATGTTTTTATTTTTTTCTCTACGTGCCCTACAAGCGGAGATATTGCGACGCAAAATCCGGATCTGTAACTTTTCATATTCAGATACGTCGTTATTATTGTCGTCGACCAGCTCAGAATGTCCATCTCGTTTTTTCGATAATAGAGGGCTTTTGGCTTTATGTATCTCACTCTATCTATCTAACATGGGCCATATAACTATGATTGTGACGCGCGCACAGTTTAAAATGATAAAATATCTAGATAAAATAAATGCACATTTTTGGATTGTACATACATTCTGCAGACTGCAGAGATAATTTAACAAAAGGAGATTGGATGGATCGAGATTGTTGTCGAGGAACTGTCTAGATATCGCCGTCGAGGAAGTGGGTGTCTAGGTATTCACCGTCGAAGAAGTGGGTGTCTAGGTGTTCGCCGTCGAGGAAATGGGTGTCTAGATGTTCGCCGTCGAGGAAATGAGTGTCTACGTGTTCGCCGTCGAGGAAGTGGATATCTAGGTGTTCGCTGATGAGGAAATGGGTGTCTAGGTGTTCGCATCCAGGAAATGGATGTCTAGGTGTTCGCCGTCGAGGAACTACTAAGTGTCTAGGTGTTCGCTATTGAGGAAATGGGCGTCTAGGTGTTCACCGTCGAGGAAGTGAGTGTTTAGGTGTTCGCTGTTAAGGAAATGGGTGTCTAGGTATTCGCCGTCGAGGAAGTGGATATCTAGGTGTTCGCTGATGAGGAAATGGGTGTCTACATGTTCGCCGTCGAGGAACTACTAAGTGTCTAGGTGTTCGCTATTGAGGAAATGGGCGTCTAGGTGTTCACCGTCGAGGAAGTGAGTGTTTAGGTGTTCGCTGTTAAGGAAATGGGTGTCTAGGTATTCGCCGTCCAGGAAGTGGGTGTCTAGTTCTTCGCCATCGAGGAACTACTAAGTGTCTAGGTGTTCGCCTTCGAGGAATTAAGTGTCTAGGTGTTCGCTGTAGAGGAACTATATGTCTAGGTATTCGCCTTCGAGGAAGTTAGTGTCTAGGTGTTCGCCGTCGAGGAAATGAGTGTCTAGGTCATCGCCGTCGAGGAAATGGGTGTCTAGGTGTTCGCTATTGGGGAAATAGGTGTCTAAGTGTTCGCCGTCGAGAAAGTGGGCGTCTAGGTGTTTGCCGTCGAGGAAATGGGTATCTAGGTGTTCGCCGTCGAGGAAGTGGGTGTTCTAAGTGTTCGCCGTCGAGGAAATGGGTGTCTAGTTCTTCGCCGTCGAGGAACTACTAAGTGTCTAGGTGTTCGCCGTCGAGGAATTAAGTATTTAGGTGTTCGTGTAGAGGAACTACGTGTTTAGGTGTTCGCCTTCGAGGAAGTTAGTGTCTATGTGTATGCCATCGAGGAAATGGGTGTCTATGTGATCGCCGTCGAGGAAGTGGGTGTTTAGGTGTTCGCTATTGAGGAAATGGGTGTCTAGGTGTTCGCTATTGAGAAAATGGGTGTCTCGGTGTTCGCCGTCGAGGAAGTGGGCGTCTAGGTGTTCACCGTCGAAGAAGTGAGTGTCTATGTGTTCGCCGTCGAGGAAGAGGGTGTCTAGGTGTTCGCCGTCGAGGAAGTGGATGTCTAGGTGTTCGCCGTCGAGGAAGTGGGTGTTCTAGGTGTTCGCCGTTGAGGAACTACTAAGTGTCTGCGTGTTTGCCGTCGAGGAAGTGGGTAAGTAGGTCATGGAATTATGTTTCTATTTGTGTAATTAATCAGCATGATAGATATCATAATCACTAGTCTGGAACTTTAGCGCTTATTCTTTCGTTTTGAATGAGTACATTTTTATTAAGACTCTAAGGGGAACCTGTATTCTAAATCATGCATCAACCAGATTCCTTTTGTTTTCTAAATTTGTTATTAGATTTCTAAAAATTTTAATAACTTGTAAATTTGTATGTATGTAGCGCACGATATGGAGACTGGCAAAAAGTCAAAGGTCAACGGACCATCAAAAATGTTCCTTGTGTTTGATCGTTTTTATAATCGGCAAGTTATAATCAGTAAGAATTTTTTATATCCAATTTCTATTTGAGATAAATAATTTTAAAAAATTCTGGAGGTTATATCCAATTTCTATTTAAGATAAAAAATAATTTATAACCAAAGTATGATTGTTATAAAATATTTATCTATTTTTGTAGGTATATCTCATATAATTACACCAAAGTCATTCCTGAATGTAAACTGCACGTCTAAGTGATTGATACTGAAGCGGTACTATCTTTATTATTTAGTTAACTCTAATCATCGAAAAAAGCTATTTATATGATAAAACCTAAATGATAAGTATTGAAAAAAACTGCTATTCTACCAAGTTAAACTTTACTATACTCGTTTACAATACTCTTATTTTCCAAAAAGAAAGTAATAGTAACTTTAATCGTACACAAACTTACCTTTTTAAAAAAAAGGTAAAAAAAGCGCTAAGCGTGCGTGCTTCTCGTGTAGAACCACCATTTGGGCCGGTTTCACCAACGTTAATTACTTAATCGGTCGTGGAACTAATGACTAATTGCGCTTGATGTTTAGTATTATAGAATTGATCACTTACGGTTGACAGGTAATCATCGATTATAGGATTAATTTAGTTAATGAAATTCTTTGTTATGATACATTCCAACCCAAGTTATTCCCCTTCAAAAATTATTACATGAAAATCATTATACCACTAAATCTAATGATACATGTATCATCTGTATAAAAGATTTGATATCAATAATTGTGGCGCCAAGTTAAATTCTGTTAATTTAATATCACAAAATTTACTACATCTAATGATATATATGTTTCATTTGTATAAAAGATTTGATATCAACAATTGTGGCATTAAGTTAAATTCTGTTAATTTAATTAAATTTATCAAAATTTTATGTATTATTCGTAAAAAAGATTTGATAGCCAAATTAAATAATGAATATTAATCTAATATTTATTATTTGTTGTCAACGTACGATTTGATATCAAAAATTGTGGCGCCAAGTTCAATTCTACTACAAAATAAAAAGTAAAACCTGAGTGATACCATCTTTATTATTTACTCAATCCAAATGGTATACTATTTTTAATTTTCATACAATGAAACCTAAGTATACGTATACTTATTGAAGAATCTTCTTATTCCAATCCAAATGGTTTAAATTCCTCTTAAATGAAATTATCATATCACATTTCATTCAAAGACATTTCCTCTTTCAACTAAAGTAGTGATTATTTAATCACAATTCAAAGATTTTCTCTACCAACTAAAGTAGTCGTATAACTATTTCGAATTTGCATACAATGACGTACAATTCTTTCGGCTTTCAATCATTTTTCAATGTGATTTTTAATATCCAATTTGTTAAAAATATTTTCGATTGTGTCATGGGATTATAATATTTTATGTAATTTCGTGACCACAATTTATTATATTTCCTAATAATATTTTTAGCAGTATCACAATTTTTGTTTACAAGACTAAGTTTTGACTTCTTTTTCTTATAACATCGTTTATTGTACAACCACTTAGGCCTATCACACATGAAATGACATAAGCTGCATAAGCATAACATAAGACCGCTGGACCAATGAGCGTCCAGCATAAAGTCGCCATATTGATTTACAGAACATAACATAAACATAAACATAGCATGTACATAAGAAATGAAATTCTATGCATATGTTTTATGCATAACCAATGAAATGTCAGCACGAGCTCCCGCTGAAATGATTAACTAACCTATGTTCCGATAATACCCGGCTCTGTCAGTTAATCTGTGGTAATAAACAGTGAAAATGAGTGATCATAACGATTATTTTACATATGCAGATGAGAGCCAAAATGAAAGCCAAATTTTATTTTCTTCAAAAGCAGACGAGGATGCTTTATTGATAGATCTGGTTAAAGATTATCCACATCTTTATAACAAGGAATCGAGAGATTTTAAAGATATACTAAAAAAAAATAATTCATGGGAAGAAATTGCAAAAATCTTAGATGCCAAAGGTATAAAACACTTTTCTTTATATCAATATTATGTAATTTTATAACTTCTCGCATATTTTTAATAATTATATTATTCCTTAGTAATAGCAAAATTTATCAAAAATACATAGTTGGTGAAAAGTAGTTACCCTGACGCGCGTGTGTGTGTGGAAATGTTTTTTTGGAATTTATATTAATCCATTTTCGGATAACTATTATTTCATCTACTAAAATAATTGAAATCTTAATGAAATGATAAAAATAGATAAATTTATGTAGATTTTGACGTTATTTCATAACAATTTCAAAAAATTGTTCTATCAATATAATTGTACACAATTATTATTCAGTTATTGTGCAGTTACTGTTTTTTTGACAAAATATCTTCATCAGATTTTGCAAACAAGAAGTATATTTCGTTTGTATACAGACTTAGTAAACTTATTATTTTTTTACTTTTAGTTTCAGATTGTCAAACGAGATGGTTAAGTTTGCGCGAGCGCTACTCTCGAGAAAAAAAATTACGAGAAATAGATACGAGAAGTGGAAGTGGAAATGTAACAAGACAAACATTTCCTTTATATGACCAGATGAATTTTTTATACACATTTGTCAAGAGTAGGAAGTAAATTTCTTTTACTAAATTTATATTTCTACTTTATTTATAAAAAGAGTTTATATATTTTCATTTTTCAATTATTATTTATTATTTTACTTAGATCTATAACCAATATATCACACTTGGCCAAAGAATCATATCCTATCAACGTGTCATCAGAAAAGATAGGCAAGTTTGTGAACGATTAATTTATTTAAAAAATATTATGGATAAAAATATTATGGATCTTTACATAACATTTAAATTGTAGATTCCACAAGTGTATTAAGAAATAAAAATCAATCTAGTGCTAATCAAGATAATACTATCATCAAAATGTCCAATAAAGCATTAAGGACTGAGCGGACATCAACAGAAACAGCTTCTTCCAATTCATCTATGTCTTCTACATTACACTCTCGATTTCTCTCTACGTCACTGTTCAGTTACGAACATTAAGAAGGAATTCGGCCGGCGAGATGCAAGCTGATGACATAGGAAAGATGACGGCAAATAATAATCTATAATATTTATTGAGATAATCAAAATTTCTGTATAAATGAAGTTTAGTGTAAATAGAATTATTCGGAGAGAATTCTCAAAATACAAACAGACGGATTGATTCTGCGCTATGCAGGCGCGCTGGTCTCCGCGATACGTTCGCGACACGCGGTACTAAGTGACCGCTTCCCT